GGTGTTTGTTCATTTGACTGAAAACCCACAGCGGTTTGAATTGCTGCTGATTTCGTGTGCCTTTTGATTGATCTGATCGAATCTCGGCATAATTTGGATCCTCCCATTATAACAGCGATCCTTTTCTTAGGAGTGTTCGGAGTTCCGGGCTCATTGGGCTTATGTTTCTTTTCAGGAGGATTAGAAGCTTCGAAATCTTCTTTTTCTTTGTGATAAGATTCCACAAACTCCTCGATATTGAAATTAGCGAGCTCTCCAGCTGCCCATAGTTCGGTGAGGTGCTTTTTGAGTACGCTACAATCTTTGGTGGAATGCCCATTTACTTTGTGAATATAGCAATAGGCATTTTCATCTCTAACCCAAGTATTAGGAGATTTATATTTTCCTCTGCTTGGGGAGGGTTTTCCTACGGTGTTAGTAGCAGGATTAACTCCGAACCGTTTTTGATCTTTTGGTTCGAACTTTTTAGTTGGATTTCCAACGACCAATTTTGCTGGTCGATGCTTTTTAGCGAGGCTGAGCTTTTCTTCTTCTGCCTCCATCTAATTAGTAGCTCTGAATAAAGCATCTTGGATGGTGTTTGGACGATTGAAGATGATTTCTTCCCAAAATCGATTCATGCCAGAGTCCGTTCCTTAAAGCAAAAAGGGCAGCAGCGTGCGATACCCCATGAATTTTGGCTATCACTTCTTTGAATTTAGCGATATATTTGCGAAGTGGTTCATTCTGACCTTGGGTTAAATTCCAAAGATCTGCATTAGAGGTTGCCTTTTCCATGAACATGGAATACTGTTTTAGGAATGCAGAGGAAAATTCCTTAAAACTATCGATAGTTCCAGGCTCCAACTGAGTAAACCATAGTAGGGCCGATCCGGATAAATTCTCGTAGAATAGTTTGCAATATCCGGCATCTTCCTCGTCTGGTTCAAGATCGATTCTGCCAGCAGCGATCTAAAAAGCAGCGAGGTGATTTTTAGGATCTCCTTTACCATCATAAGTTGGTAATTTGACCTTTAGAGAATCCTTGATCCGAAGGTTCGAGATTCTCGAGGTGAACGGTGTTCGCCGAGTTTCTTCGATTACTCGATCGATCTCAGGTGCCGAACTGGTCGCCTGATGAAACTTAGACTTCATTTCATCAAGCTCTTGACGAACTTTGACGAAATCATCTGAGAAGGTGACATCGGGATTTTCCATAAGGAATCCGTCGTCAATAGTAGGATTTCCCTTATCCTGGGGAATTACTTCCCCGGTTGGGTTAGTCCCACCCCCTACGGCTGCCTGATTGCTAGTACTAGCAGCCTGGCCTGCTGGAGGAGTTTGAGTATTCCCGGTCCTGTTTTGTGCGGGAGTTACGAATAGCCTACGCTGACGCGCTGCTACCTGCACTGAAGGCAAAGTATCTAAACGGCTTGAAACAACGTTCTGCGCATTTGATAAATCTGTCTGGGTGGTTTGAACACTTGTCAAGGTTTGCTCGATTGAGTTCAACCTTTTACTAAAAGTGGTGTTGGCATCAACGAGTGTACCAATCTGAGTAGTCAGACTAGTGGTTGTCTGATTAAGCAAGGTAATTGCATCGCTCAAAGCTTACTGCTCATCCATAGTTTCTTGGTTGGGAAAGAAGGATTTTGAGATTAAAGAGTTTTGTGGTAAATCCCCACAGACGGCGCCAAAATGTGGATGTAGGATTCACACTCAATTGTCTGCAAGTATTTCAGTGGAGAAAAACTCTTAAAATCAACGAATGAATATGAGAATTCGAAAGGGAAACTAACCAAGAAAAGAATAAATTAAAGAAATTAGACAAGAGTGAAGCATGCAAAGCCTTACGAAATTGTCAGAGAAAAAAGTATGTTGTATTTGCTTAGTAGTAGTAAGTAAAAAGATCTCTCTCTCCCCCAAACACATGCGTTTGAGGTTGTTTTTATAGAGAAAAATATGATTAATGCGGCTATTTACTACTCGTAATCATATTGATCCGCATTAATCACATGGGCTTTCCGAACTCTTTCTTGCTGACTCCGAACTCCCGTGCTTTGATGCTACTGCGAGCCTCGAACAATATTCTCCTCGCGTCGGCCTTTCTCTATGCGAACTGTATGTTGAATAAGAGCGAACTCCATGCTAGTAAAGATCGAACTCTTTTAGTGAACTGAATCGAACTCCCAACTGGTCAAGTTCAATAAAATATCTTGAATTCCGAGAGGATTATTATGTAATAATGACGTGGACAGATCCAAGTGGATCCTACCGAAAATGAGTGGGATCCGACCCCAACATCCGCCTCACTTATTTTAGACCGAGCCCAGAACTCCCTCTTTAAATGATACATAGGACTGCTGGGCATAAGCCGAGAGACGTCTCGCGCCCAGTACACGCGGAATACTTTATTTTATAAAAACCGAGCTCAGTCTTGCATTGAACATCTAACCAGAACTTAGACAGAAAAAATTGGGGACAATCTCGCGAAGAACTAATCCACCCAAAAAGCCGATCTCAAAGATCGCAGGAAACTCGTAATTGAATTGTTCCGATAAACATAAATTGTAAATCATAAACTTGATGCAACCATAATCGACAAAAGTTTGCTGCCATTGCAAGGCACTTATTCAAAAATCAAAACAAATAGCCGACCTGGTTACATAGTCAATAAAGAAATTTCAAAGAAACAAAAACTTCAGATCGCTCGGTTGATGACAGATCGGTTATCTCTCAAAAGATAATTTGGCATAGGCCACACAAGCTGAAAGCCAACCTTCTCCCAATCTTCCGAACGAATCTCCAATGTCCTTGTTGTCTACTCAATCTCGTCCAGACGAACAACATCTCTTCGAAGCAACGAAGATTCATCCGGTAACCTTCCTCTGCGCCGAAGGTAAGAGCCTCGACGAAGTTGCAGATCGCCGCCGGAGTCAACTGAGAGATTGCCAAGTGGCGGCGATGAATAAAAGAGATCAAATGAGATGCGGTCGGAAACCAGAGGTGACATTGCCTGAAATACACCTCTCAGAGGCAGATATAACCTCTGGGAGGATTCCATGGGCGATCATTTAGGTCGGGAATAACATAAGTAATTCCACAGTTCCCAAACCGCAGGAAGATAGCATCCCGGAAACTGAATTCCTAGTAGAACGGGTAGAGATCCCGACAATCTCTGCATCCCAGTTTATCACTAGGGAAAGGTCAGGATCGAAAACGCCAAGTGGAGCCAGTCTCGCCTCCACTTTAGCCTCGCTGTACTTAGGGCGATCTGAAGATTTGTCTCCCAGATCAATAAGAACTTCAAACCGGTCTGAACCGTCCACCGGATTATCGTGGTGAATAGTCGAATTACCACCGTCATCTTCTCGACTCGGCTCATCGATCAGTTCAGGAACTCTGGTCTGGTCATTCCGACTGGACTGAGCTTCGTCTCCTAGACTTCGACCAGACGAGAGTTACGGAAAGTCAGTACGGTGGCTCACTATCGGAGGAAGCGGAAGCTCTGGTAGCCTTACCCATGATCGGAAATCGACACAAAATGCAAACATAAACAGAGAATAATGTGCTAGAAGAGAGAACAGAGCGAAAACTACCTTCGTTTTCTCTTTTGCAAGCGGCTGAAAATGAAAAACGGGAGAGATTCATCGAATATATGTAGAAAGAAAGTAGGCGGCAGAGCTAGGGAAGTAATCATTAGGCCTATCGGACTCTTCAGTTTCCAAATTCCACGCACGCGTTCGGACGCCAAGCGGTGACACGTGTCAAATGAAACCTGACGCGTCCGAGAATATGAGCCGAATATTCACTTCCTTAATTCGAAAATTCTGAGTTTAAGTATTCGGATTTCCCGAACTTAGGGGGACTAATTGTTGGTGCAGGAATTAGCACCTCCGACAATACATGCTTAAACCGGAGGAATTGCGAATAAAAATAAAATTTCAGTTAAAACTAGGGTATCCCGGTTAAGCATGTTAATGGGCTAAAGAAAGAAGGTCGCCTGGCGATATCAACTCGAAGAAGGGAGATCGCCTAAACCGACTTCCTTGTTCAAGAAAAGAGAAATTTTCCTTAAGAGAAAAGAAGAATCGCGAAAAGAAAGGAAAAGTAGAAGATAAGACCCCGAAGATTTAGAAGTTTAACATATCCCTAAACCGCCTCAATGATGTATAAATAGAGGGGTCTGTCCTCTATTCAAAGGATCCGCAATTTTTACACAAAAACCCTAATTTTCTTGATTGTTCTTGAGCAAAACCCTTACTTTTTCTCTAAGAAACCAAATTCACCTTTTATTCGAGTCTTTGATCACAAATAGCTAGAGAATTAACTGAATTAGTTTTCCCCCTTTAAACAAATTCATTGTGTGATTTTCTTAATCAACACAACCTTATGAAACCCATATCTCTTCGCTTATTGAAAGTAGACATAAAAGAAACACATGTACTGATGAATCATATTTCTTGTGGCATAAAAGATTAGGACATATTTCCTATGAAAGAATTAAAAAATTGGTAAAAGATGGAGTCATTCCGAATCTTGATTTTACCAATATTAAAGAGTGTATAGATTGCATTAAGGGTAAGTAAACTAAACACACTAAGAAAGGAGCCACAAGAAGTACACAACTTCTTGAAATCATACATACAGATGTATGTGGACCTTTTGATGTTCCAAGTTTTGGAGGTGAAAAGTATTTCATTACCTTTACCGATGATTATTCACGATATTGTTATCTTTATCTATTGCATGAAAAATCTCAATCTGTGAATGTTGTAGAGGCATTTATTACTGAATTTGAGAGGCAATGTAACACCCATAATTAAAAGAATAGAGAAAAAGAGATTTTGGGTTAAATTGATCCATTTGAATACTGTCTGTTTTAGGGGATTTCTGATCGGTTCAGAAGTTTGAAACAGAATCTGTAAATAGAAAAAAGTCCAGGGACTAAAGTGCAAAAAGGGGAAAAATGGGGAATTCGAGTTTAGCATTTCCGAAATCGAAGGGAGAGTATTTGGCAAGTTAGATCTTCGTTTCTTAACCCTAATATGTCGTATATATATGCGTTTTAAAGCCCCAACAAATTAGAAGCCGAATCTCTTGTCAATTTAGGGTTTTTGGTGAGTTTTCCAGACCCTCCTTCACCATCTCCGTTTTGATCAATTTTTGGGGAAACTTGTGACCGGATTTTGTTGTGACTTAGGTTGATTGTTCTTCTTCGTAATAGAGCCTTAGTTGTGGGTCGTTTTCAGCCTTGGTGGAAGAGGTTGGTAAGCTTCATCTTCTTCCTTCTTCAATTTTCTTCCATAAAAGTGAGCTTGAAGCTCTTTAATGGTGGATTTTGTTTCAGGAAGAATTAGAACTCGAGCTATACCTTGTTAGAAAGCTCTCGTTCATACGGATCCAACGCCACTGACATCTCATCAAACGGAAGTCGGAATTGATCGGAATCTGATTGGTAAATATTTCAATTTTGTTGGTTATAGTCAAATCCGGATTTATAAACACCGGTTCTGGAACTTTTTAAACCGGTTTTGGGATGGCCTGTCTGTCAAATACTAGACGGAAATCGAATTTTGAATTGGTTGAGTTTAGAATTTTAACCGATTGTAATTCGGACCGGTTCGGCTGCTTTCATACCGGTTTTGAAAAATCTGATACCTGACTATGATTTCTCTTGAAATTATCTTTCTGATGATATATTGTATGGATTTTTTTTATAGGCGGTTGATTTTAGGTGAATTAATTGGTGGTTTGGGACGTATCTAGAATTGCCAATAACCACTCTTTCGGTCCGAAAATCTTTCCAGGTGAGTTCTAACTCCCTTATTAGTTATTATACATTTGTATAATATTTAGGAATATGGTGGAAAGAAGATATGAATTATTTGTATGTTTGAATTTTGAAAATTAATTATATGTGTTAGTGTTATTATTTTGAATATGATTATGATGATGAAATATGTTATTCTGTTAAGACCGGTATCAACATGCTATTCTGATTTAACTAGCTCTATTGAGCAATCTGTGGCGGCCGGCATCGCCAACAGATGTATTCCGTATTCTGTTAGTCTGTTAGTGATATTGAGGTCGGTTAATGTCGTGGACTGTACTTCCTTATCACCTCGTTAGGGGCCAGCATCCCTATCGAGTATATTATGTAAAAATTCTGTTAGTATATAGTTTGGGTCGACCAATGCTGGGGTTGTACCATTCTGATTGCTAGATACCTGGTCGTTTTGTTCTGATGTTATTATTCTGTCTGATGATATTATTCTGTTCTTATGATTTGATTAAGTATTTCTGATAGTATATTTCTGCTGTGATTTATTTTATTTATATGTAATTAAATTGGAATTTATGTATGTTGGTACAAACACGTGAACATTATTCTGTGCGGGATCAGACCGTGTTGGTACTTGTTCGTCGGGTTTGTAGTCTCACTGGGCGATTTATTCGCTCACATAAGTTCTGATTCCGTGCAGAGGGCATTGAGGAGGAGCAGCGTGCAGCTGAGGCTTAGAGTTCATTTTTCGGTCGTAGAGCGAGACTTGGTAGATTTTCCAAAGTTTAATTTATTTTGTTTTGAGATTTGGAGTTTTTACGAGATTTCAACTTTATACATTTTGAAAATTGTAGTATTTTTGTTATGTTATTTTTAGTAATGCTTCAAAAATTCTTTTAAATTTTTGGGGCGTTACAGGCAATTAGATAGAAAAGTGAAAATCATAAGGTCAGATAGAGCTGGTGAATTTTATGGCAGATATGATGAAACATGACAACATCCTGGACCATTTGCCAAATTTCTCCAGAAATTAGGAATTGTTGCGCAGTACACAACGCCTGGTTTTCCATGGCATAATGGTGTAGCTGAAAAGCGAAATCATACTTATTTGGAAATGGTTAGATCCATGATGAGTCATGCTAACTTACCTATATCCTTGTGGATGGATGCATTACGTACTGCAGTATATATCTTGAATCAGGTTCCAAGCAAAGCAGTTCCAAAGACACCCTTTGAACTGTGGAAAGGCTGGAAACCTAGTCTTTCACATCTCCAAGTTTGGGGATGTCCAGCTGAAGTGAGAATATACAATCCACATGAAAAGAAATTAGATTTCAAAACGATCAGTGGTTTCTTTATAGGTTACCCTGAGAAGTCTAAAGGATATAGATTTTATTGTCCAACTCTTAGTAATGCCATATTCTATGAGAATGGCGAGATTAGTGGAAGTGATAAAGTTCAAGATGTGATCATTCAGGAAATAGGGATTAATATCCCTTTACCCTTAGTTCTGAATGTTGAAAATCCTCCTATTGTTGAACCGTTAAACAATGAGAAAAATCCATTGAATGATCACACACTCCATAATAAAAGCATCGCCAATGATGATCATGTAGTACAAGAAGAACCAACATTAAGAAGATCAACTCGTCAGAGAAGATCTGTTATTTCTGATGACTACATACTTTATTAAGTAGAATCTGAAGAATGGGATATTAAAGATCCGGTTTCTTATTCACAAGCCATGAAAGATGTTAATTCTGATAAATAGATTGATGCCACTAAAGATGAAATAGACTCGATGGTTAAGAATGAAGTTTGGGACATTGTTTCATTGCTTGAAGGACACAAAGCAGTCAGGTGTAAGTGGATCTTTAAGACCAAACTCGATTGTAATGGCAATGTGGAACGATATAAAGCCAGACTTGTAGCCAAATGGTTTAATCAGAAAGAAGGCACTGATTATAATGAGACTTTTTCACCAGTGTCAAGAAAAGAGTCACTCAAAAGTATCATGACATTAGTAGCTCATTATGATCTCGAGTTACATCAAATGGATGTGAAAACTACCTTTCTTAATGGAGACTTACAAGAAGAAGTCTATATGCGTCAACCTGAAGGCTTCATAATCGAATGTCAAAAAGATATGGTCTACAAATCAAAGAAATCAATATATGGACTGAAACAAGCTTCGAGGCAATGGTTTTTAAAGTTTGATGAAACCATTACGAAGTTTGGTTTCAAAGAAAACATAGTAGATCCATGTATATAGCTCAAGATTAGTGGAGTAAGTTCATATTTTTGGTTATGTATGTTGATGACATATTATTGGCTAGTAGTGATCTCGGTCTATTACATGAGACTAAGAGATATCTTTCTAAGAATTTTGATATGAAAGATATGGGTGAGGCATCCTATGTGATAGGAATTGAAATATTCCGTGACAGATCACTAAGAATTTTAGGATTGTCTCATAAAGCATATATTGACAAAATTCTTGAGAGATTTGGCATGATGACGTGTTCTTCTAATAATGTTCCTATGCAAAAAGGTGATAATCTTAACCTTAAGCAAAGTCCACAGAACGAAATGGAACATAATGAAATGCAAAAGTACCCTTATGCATCTCTTGTGGGAAGTTTAATGTACACTCATGTCTACACTCGACCTGATATTAGCCAAGCAGTCGGAATGTTGGGTAGATTCCAAAGTAACCCAGGACTTACTCATTGGAAATCTGCAAAGAAAGTTTTGAGATATCTAAAGGGGAACAAAAAATTACATGCTGACATATCGAAAATCAACACATCCACAAATGGTTGGATTTTCAGACTCAGATTTTGGTGGATGTCAAGATTCTAGGCATTGTACTCTCGGCTATGTGTACCTTCTTAATGGAGGTGCCATTTCATGGGAAAGCCAGAAATCAGAGTTAATTTATACATCCACCATGGAGGCTGAGTATGTCGCATGTTATGAAACTTCTATTCAAGGAACCTGGTTACGGAATTTCGTGTCTGAGTTTGGGGCTCTGAGCTTTATTGACAAGCCTCTAACTCTTTACTGTGACAATCAAGCCTCTAACTCGTGTCTGAGTTTGGGGCTATGAGCTTTATCTATTACTTAAGCAAGATGTTAAAAGAGAAAAGATTGTCATTGAACACATAGGCACTGAACTAATGGTTGCAGACATATTTACGAAGGCATTACCTCCAAAAACCTTTATGAAGCATGCTGAAAGTATGAGTCTAGAGGATAGCAATTAATTATGTTGTCTGATTATGATTTAGCCTATGTTTGACATTTACTAGAGCTCTCTTGTGACTTTTACATCTTTTATATTCTGTTTCCAATGTGTACACATTATTGTTGTTGGATTTATTGATAACAGAATAGGTCTATATATAAAGACATAAAAGAGACCATTAAGATAACTCCTACTTATGTTTATGGTCTAACTATGAAAGTAGTCAATACAGTAGTACATGGAAGGAATCATGTTGCAAAATGATGTGTGACCGCCATGACTCTTATTGGTTACTAAAATAGCTAAGACAATTATGAAAGACCAAATGTAAAATATTACATATTATGCCGGCCTTATGATTCCGGAATAAAACCATTATACTAACGACCAAGTGGGAGAATGTAAGAAAATTATTATTTCTTACCCATGAAAGTGGTTTTATAGTTAATTGGTTTCTTATGGGATTGTTATATTTTTAATAAACATTTGGTGGTAACCAAAAGAATTGGTTATTAAGAAGTTAATTCCCTAATGAGTGTAGTAGACAATAAGAGAAGGACAAGTGGTAAGCCACATGTCATTAAGGGACAAGTGCTAAGCCACATGTCATGCTTTGGTTAATAACTTGGAGAAAAAGCTATGACTAGCTTTGGGACCAAGGTAAAGAACCAATGCTAGACACATGTCCTCACACTTGTCACCAAAGCCTTGATCTCTACTTTGATGGATGGTTGAGATTAAATTAAGGCAAAACCCTAATGAGGAATAAGGTCCTCTCCCCACCTATAAATAGATGCTTTGCTCCATCACAAACATCATGAACAAAAAACAACACTTAAAAAGAAAGACTTATAAGCAAGGGGAGAGAAACCTTATCTCCTACATAAAGATTAAGAATTTCCTTCTCAAGTCTACAAACTATTGATCAAGGAAGATTTACTTTCAAGAAACCATTCAAGTAAGCATCATTTCTACAATGAGTGGAGGTATTTCTTGAACCCTCTTTATGATTCTATTATGTGATTAATATAGATGTTTAAGATCTTGGGGTTTATGTTAAAAGTATGTTTAACAAGTAGGCTTGCCGGAGTAAACGCAATATTGGACGTAAATATAATTCTTTGTAGACTTCTAATTTGAAGATTCACAACCTTTCGCTAATATTTTATTTATTAGTTCAATTAAATCGTAGATCCTTGAGAGAATGCTATTTGGTGGCGTCATATCTTTTGAAACATGAAAAATCTAAATGATTAAAATAATGCGTTGTTATAAGCATGTGTAAATAGAATGATGGAATAAAAGTGTTTTGCTTTGGTGTGAGTGTAAAAAATATTTGGAAAAATGTCGAAAAATGCGCGAACTTTCAAATTTGGGACGAAAAAACATGAACTTTCAAAATGTCATTTAAATCATAAAGTTTGGGTTGACTTTTTGACAAAATAGTGAAGTTTAGTTTGACTTGGCCATTTCGGGCATACCGTTAAATTTTCGTTAACCAGAAGATCACGGTGTTAAATTTCCGTTAGAAATCTCCGTTGAATCAAAACGACGTCGTTTTGAAACTCTAAAACGACGTCGTCTCATTAGAAAATAAAATAGAAAAAAACTGAATCCACCAGGAATCAAACAGCTAACCTATTGATCTAATGAGAGGCGCTCAACCGTTGTGCTACAATAACATTTTGGTATTATACCAAACCGAACATATGTATACTAACAAATAATTATGTACAATTAATTAAAACTATATACAATTAATTAACACTAACAAACCTAAAAAAAATAACCAAACATATACAAATATTAAATATTCTTACCATAATTATATATTTTGAAATTTTAAATATTTAATTTTATATATAAAATTTACTTCTATATTTGGAAAAAATTGTTTCCTAAATTATAAAAAAAAACAAAACTGAAACTTATAGAATATAGTAAATTAAATATATGACATAAAATTTAGTGGCTTTTGCAAAAATGCCACTTTTTCAATGCCACTTTTCAAAAATACCCATTTTTTAAAACCTTATAAAAAATGCTTTTAAAAATATAAGATTTACCCAAATATGTATGTAATATTATTAAAACATACACAAACTACATTTCTATGTATCTAAAATCTTATAAATACTTTATAAATACCTTATAAATGCATTTTAAATACCTTTAAAAACCTTTAAAATATCTTGTAAAACCTTAAAAATCCTTTAAAATAACTTGTAAAACCTTTAAAAACACCTTATAAAACCTTATAAATACTTGGATCGAGTCTTCAAGTAGTAGTTAAAATTCATAAGTACCTTATAAACCTAATAAAACTTTATAAAAATTTCAGATTTAAAAAAGGGCATTTTTGAAAATGGACATCTAAAAGGGGCATTTTTGAAAAGGGGCACACCAAAAGGAGTATTTTTAACAATTTCCCTAAAATTTATACAATCCTTCTCACATAAATATAAAATTTATACAATCCTTCTCATATAAATATATGATATATATTTATACAATCTTTAATCCTATAATTTATACAATATTTAATCCTATATTTAATGTATGTGAGAAGGATTGT